TGATTTCATAATTTCTAAATCTTGTATAAATGAAGTACATCCCACATTTGTGTTATCCTAACTAAAATCCTCCTTAATTTAATATCACTCATATTCTGTTTATATAATTTATTTTAATTAGGGTTATTCCATCGTACTAAAATTTAATTATTGCTATTATGGTTGCGATAATATTTTATTTGTTTCCAATCCCACCTAACCTTTATTTTAATTTATATTTTAATTATTTATTTAGTCAACTAGATTTTCTTTTATGGTTTGTTCCTAGCTAGTTATTCATTATTCGTGATTAATAGACTCCGACATCAAAATCCAATGAAACAGGCGAATAAAGTCGGCATGATGCAATTGGTTTAAAAAGTTTTTGAAAGTCCGTATTTTTAGAGTTTTTGTTTTGTCGGTCGAATTTTCAGGGTGTTACAAACCTACCCCCCTTAAATAAATCTCGTCCTGAGATTTTCTTACCAGTTGTAGAATAGATGCGGGTACTCCGTCCTCAAGAATTCTTCGCTTTCCCAGGTGGCTTCATCCTCAGTGTGATTACTCCATTGTACCTTGTACATACGCCACACTTTGCTCCTAGTCCTCTTTTCTGCTTCATCTAATATCCGAATCGGGTGTTCTGGGTATGTGAGATCATTGCTAATGTGAATCTCTTCCAGCGGAGCTTGTTCTTCCGACACTCGTAAGCATTTCTTTAATTGGGATACATGGAAGACTAGGTGCACATCGGCGATATTCTCTGGTAGTTGTAACTGATATGCAACTTCTCCTCGCCTGGCGATGATCTGGAATGGCCCCACATATCTTGGTGCCAGTTTTCCTTTAACCTTAAACCTCTTTGTTCCCCTCATCGGAGAAACCTTTAGATAAACGTAATCTCCTTCCTTAAATTCCAGGTCTCTTCTTCGAGTGTCGGCGTAACTCTTTTGTCGTGACTGTGCTACTTTTAGACGGTCACGGATCAAACGAACCTTTTCTTCGGCTTCTTGAATGATGTCAGGTCCAAATACCGCCCGTTCCCCAGTCTCGGACCATATTAGCGGGGTACGACATCGTCGACCAAACAATGCCTCATTGGGTGACATCTTTAGGCTTGCTTGAAAGCTGTTGTTGTAGGAGAATTCGGCGTAGGGCAAACATCTCTCCCAGTCCTTGCTAAAATCCAAAGCACAAGCCCTCAGCATGTCCTCCAGGACCTGGTTGGTTCTCTCCGTCTGGCCATCCGTCTGTGGATGATAAGCGGTGCTAAATGCGAGGTAACTTCCTAGGGCTTCATGGACTTTCTCCCAGAAATGTGAGGTAAACTGTGTGCCTCGATCAGATATAATCCTCTTAGGTATACCATGAAGACACACTATCCTGGTCATGTACAACTCGGCGAGTTTTGCACTGCTATAGTTTGTCTTGACGGGGATGAATCTTGCCGTCTTGGTGAGTCGATCCACGATCACCCATATGGAATCATATCCTGTTGCGGTTTTGGGCAATCCAACAATAAAATCCATGCCTATCTCATCCCATTTCCATTCGGGAATCCTGAGAGGTTGCAACAAACCTGCCGGCCTCTGGTGTTCAGCCTTCACCTTCTGGCATACGTCGCAGAGTGCTACGTATTCGGCCACATCTCTCTTCATGTTGGGCCACCAGTATCCTTCCTTCAGATCTTGGTACATCTTCGTACTTCCGGGGTGCAATGAATATGCCGATTCGTGAGCTTCCTTTAAAATTAATCCCCTCAGTCCACCCTGTTCGGGTACGTAAATTCTCTTTTTATACCATAGAACATCTTTTTCGTCGGTTGAAAATTCCTTTGCACGTCCTACAGCTAAGCGCTCCTTCACCTCTCGGACTTCCTCGTTGTCCTTCTGGGCTTCTTCTATTTGGGTTCTCAAAAGAGGTTGAATATCCAGGGTGTTTATCTGTCCACGGGGTACTATATGTAGGTTCAGCTGCGCCATTTCCTCCCTAAGCTCAGGGACCATCCCTTCCGTTCTCAGATGATTGCAATGGCTCTTACGACTCAGAGCGTCGGCTACGACGTTTGCTTTGCCTGGGTGATAATGAACCTCTAAATCATAGTCCTTGATTAATTCTAACCATCGCCTTTGCCTCAAGTTGAGATCTGACTGGGTGAAGATATACTTTAGACTCTTGTGGTCAGTGTAGATATCGCAATGGTTTCCAATCAGATAATGTCTCCAAATCTTTAGCGCATGAACCACAGCTGCGAGTTCTAGGTCATGGGTAGGGTAGTTTTCCTCATGTGGTCGCAATTGTCGCGACGCATAGGCCACCACTTTTCCCTCCTGCATCAGTACTCCTCCTAGTCCTTGCCTCGACGCATCACAATATATAACAAAGTCTTTCCTGATGTCGGGAAGAACTAAAATAGGTGCTGAGGTCAGCTTTTCTTTGAGCTGCTCAAAGCTTTCTTGACACTGTTCCGACCATGCAAACTTCTTTTCCTTCTTGAGTAATTGTGTAATTGGTCGGGCTATCTTAGAGAACCCTTCAATGAACCTTCGGTAGTATCCAGCCAAGCCTAGAAAACTCCGGATCTCAGTCACCGATTTGGGTGCTTTCCATTCCGTGACAGCCTCCACTTTAGCAGGGTCCACTGCTACTCCACCGGCTGAGATTACGTGACCCAGAAAAGCGACTTCCTTCAACCAAAATTCGCACTTGCTGAATTTTGCGTATAACTTGTGCTTTCGGAGTTTCTGGAGAACCAATCTTAAGTGTTCCGCATGTTCTTCCTCATCTTTGGAGTAGATAAGAATGTCATCAATGAACACCACCACAAACTTATCCAAGTATTCCATGAATACTTTGTTCATAAGATTCATGAAGTATGCTGGGGCATTGGTTAGACCAAACGACATTACTGTGAATTCATACAACCCATAGCGTGTTGAAAACGCGGTTTTGGGGATATCCTCGGTCCTAATCTTCAGTTGATGGTATCCTGATCGAAGGTCTATCTTTGAAAACACCTTAGCTCCCTTAAGTTGGTCGAAGAGGTCATCAATCCGTGGTAGTGGATACTTATTTTTGATAGTTACTTCGTTCAGTGATCGGTAGTCTACACACATTCTCATGCTACCGTCTTTCTTTTTAACAAACAACACTGGGGCTCCCCAAGGTGACGAGCTGGGGCGTACAAATCCCTTCTCTTGCAACTCTCTGATTTGCTTTTTAAGTTCTTCTAACTCATTGACCGGCATCCGATATGGTCTCTTGGATATGGGGGCAGTTCCGGGTATCAGGTCAATAATGAACTCTATGTCACGATCTGGTGGCATTCCAGGTAAATCTTCTGGGAACACATCAGGAAATCGCTGCACTACTGGCATTCCCTTTAGGGGTAGCATGGTAAATATACCTCCGGCACGTTCGGTTAGCCTAGGATCTTGATCCATGGTTGCTCTCATATCCGATCCCCAGGGTGTGGTCAGGGTAACTTCTCTACGTCTACAGTCAATTACTCCTCTATGCTTTGCTAACCAATCCATACCCAAAATGACATCAAGAGTTTGGGGTATTAGCACCATAAGATTGGAGGGAAATACCACATCCCTAAGGCGAATGGGTACGTCAATGCAAGCTGTATCCACTGCTATCTCACCCCCAGGTGAATGTACTAACATTGGTTGTCTTAATTTAACTCTGGTTAAATTGTGTTGTTGACTTGCTTTCAAAGATATAAATGAATGCGATGCTCCTGAATCGAAGAGAACTTTAACTGGAGTGGAGTTGAGTGAAAACATACCCATCAGTACGCCTTGGTCTTCCTGGGCCTCTTCAGCTCGAACATGGTTCACTTGCCCGCGTCCAAATCCGGTAGCGGTCCTGTTAGTCTGCGGAGTCCTGAATAGACCTCGTCCAGCAGCAGGGGTAGCAGTACCGTGAATAGCCGTTGCATTAGCTCCGGTACGAATGGGTGTCTTGTTTGGATGAGGACATTTATTAGCGAAATGCCCATACTCTCCACAGTTGAAGCAGCTCCCTGGCCTTACTGATCCAGTGGCGGCCTGATTCGGTGTAGGAGCGCGGTTCTGAATGGTAACCGGCCTGTGGAAATTGCTGGAGGCGGCAGGTCGACTGGTTGTCACCACTGTTGGTCTCCATGCTGAGGGGGTTGTCCCTTTAGGACGCTGGGGGGCGGTCTGAGGCGGGCGGCTCATGGCAAGCCTCCTTTTACGATTGTGCTCCACTACCTTCCGGTCGTTCTCCAGCCTGACGACCTTATTGATTAAGCTCTGGAAACTATCGTGGTCTTGTCCAATCATGGGCCCGCGTAACTCGTCATTCAAGCCTTCAATAAATTTGTCGATCTTTTCCTCTTCGTCGGCAAGATCTCCAGTTGCGTAGCGCGCCAGCTGAGTGAAACGGTTCAGGTACTCTTGTACTGTGGTATTCCCTTGCCGTAGTCTCCTGAACTCGTTCTTCTTCATCCGCATCACCGCGGCAGGCACAAAGTTGTCACAGAAGGCTGTGGTAAATTCCTCCCAGTTTGGTTCCCCGGCATCTTCTTCTCGGGCTTCTTTGTACGTGTCCCACCAATCTCCGGCTGGTCCTTCCAATTGGTTTGCCGCAAAGATCACCTTATCGGCCTCACGTACTCGAACAAGAGTTAGCTTCTTCTCAATGATCCTTAACCAATCTTCAGCATCCATAGGTTCTTCAGCTGTGGCGAATGTGGGTGGCTTGGTCCTCATAAACTCTCCAAAGCTTGACCCTCTGCGGTTGCCTTGGTTGCTCGCGATAGCTTGCAGAAGTTGAGTTTGGGTGGCCATAATTCCGGCCAGAGTGTTTAGGTCGGGCGTCTGAGTTTCGTCATTGCCGGTTGTTGCCCGACGTCGGCTTGCCATCTGTGTAGGTTGATGGAGTAAGCATCCTAATTTTCTAACTAGCTCCTATGGCTTTATCCCATTAAGGGAGTTGTGTCGATATGAACTTTGTTTCGCAAGCATGGTGGAATAAACTCATTTACAACACAACAACAATAGATATCATAAATAACATCACAGAGTTTCACAAATGGTACATAAATCATGATGCAATTGACTGCATACATACGCAGTCCAAATAAGGTTCATCCAAACGATACATCAAACCAATCATCAAACTACTCGTCAATCTAGGTAAGGGAAGGGGTGTCTCGCATACTATCCAAAAACCATCTGATACGAGATCGAAGCTGCAAGGAGTCCGTCAGTCTAATCCTCCAGCCATCCGCAGGATCCCGGGGCAGGTAGAGGGTGGTCGCTGGCTCGCGCAAACCGGAGTCCCCACGGCTCAGAGGTAGTGGCCTCTGGATCTGGCTTGGGCCTCTTGCCCGGGGGTCGTGTGCTCTTGCGAGCAGTGCTGAGGGTGCGAGGGCCTCCGAGGAAGGTGATACGGGGAACAGGAGCCTCATCCTCTGAAGGATCAGTGATGTCTGGCTCGATCTCTGGCTCGGTGTCGGTCCCCTCTGTCTCGGAGTCGACCTGGATCGGAGTCTCCAAACTGGAACCCAGCTGCGGAGAAAGTGTAGGGATCAGTGAAGTGTGCACCAACTCCGGAACAGGTGGCTGTGCTGCTGTAGGGTCCACTAGGTAGGGCGCTGACTCGGTAGCTAGCATACTAGCCTCTCCCAGAAGAGCGTGGAACGCCGGTGGGTACGGCGGGGTGAGGAAGAAGTAGCGGTCACGGCCTACTGCTGTGGAAGTAGAGGCCCCTGTGGTGCTGATCTTGGCTGCTCGAAGCTGCTCCTCCAGCTGGCTGACGTGCTCCTGACTCTCTCTCAGCTGCTCCTCAAGAGTATCCATCATCCCGCGGCGATCGTTGTACTGGTCGGATAACTGCTGGAACTGATCGCCGTGGACCTGGAGCTGTGCCTTCAGTGAGTCTATCTCACTGCCCCAAGCCTGGTGCTCCTCCTCCAACTGAAGCTGCTGTGCTGTGAGGTCGGTCACCTCAGTCTCTAACTCCCCCACACGTCTCTGGTGGTCGTCAATCTCCAACAAAGCCTCCTCGTAGTAGTCATCTACTGCCTCAGCCTATCGTGACAACCGAGTCACTATCGGGTTGTAGCAGCAGGGCGTGTCCTGAACTGTGCAAACTGAGTTGCCCTCCTCCCGGAACGGGTGATGAGCAAACTCGGTACTCACTAACTCAGCTCGGTGGATAGAGCTGAGTCGGAGAAAGGCCTCCCGAGCAGCATCCTGCATCGCGGTCTCTGGCAGGTCTCGGTGGTGACGTGTCTGAAAGCTGTAGTCCAACTTGGAAGGGACTCGGGGGTGAATCTCGACCCGAGCCTCCCAAACTGGGCCACACTGCCTCACTCGGTATGACGGAAAACCAGGGTATCGCAGACGCCTCAACATCCGATGCAGCTCAATGACATAACCCTCCGATTGGGGTAAGCTCAACTCCCAGGTAGCGGGTGAATCCGAATCTGCCATCTAATTTTAAGAAAAACCCAAAGTCAGTTGAGAGTAAAACTTGTTTTGTAAAGAAAATAGTTAAGAGTAAGATAAAAATTGTGCCGAGTTTTGTAAACATAGCGTTTTTATTTTTGAAAGTATTACTAAATGGGAATTTCTCCCTTGGCCAACTTAGAAAAAAGGGTGGGGCGCCTTTTGGTCTTTTCCTACAGTCGTATGGCTCTGATACCAGCTCTGTGGACCCCCGTTTTTATAACAGGAATCAATCGTGTAAACAGTACCATTTCCCTGGATCAAGTAGTTTGGTACTCACGAATTCATAGCTGGAATATCAAGTGCACATACACGAGTATCTAATACGAATTATTACATCATAGGCCCGCAGGCATAGTCTTAAATCATCGGACCGAGAGGTCCGGAATACATCCAAAAGCAGAAATAGATAAGGCAGCGGAATTCAGGCAGCGGCATGCCATTGCCACAGGCAACGACCGTACTAAGACCTACTGGACGCCATCGTCTTCATCTCCCTCCTGATAGTAGGCATAAGGATCCTCCGAGGCTTCATCTCCCGCTTCTGATAAATTTTATATTTGCAAGGGTGAGTACCAACCGTACTCAGCAAGCCACCACAGCAACAATGCATATGAAAGGGGGAGTTCAAAGGATGGCCATAGTTCTTTTGCGCAAAGCAAGTTTTGTAATTCTTTTCACAAGCCTAAGACCTAGCATTGACTGTTCAACTTTTAGTACCAGAGTTTGTATTTAAACAACGACGGTTCTGTCCACCATCCATTGTGATCCCAAGGATAGCTTCCCGCCATTGATTCGTCATGGTTTTCTGAGGATGTCCACCTTCCCACCTCTCAGGAAGTGGCTCCATCAGCATAAAAATCATCATGCAATATCCCATCCCACACAAGTTAAGAATTTAGAGTCTAGCCAAGTGTAATACATGTCCCGGTGCTCAATAACCGCGAGCACGGCTATTTGAATAGATTTGGTTTACTCACACTGCAGTGGATGTACACTTTACCCGCACTCCGCGACTGCCCAACACATGAGCCTCGTCCCAACACATGAGACGCGTCACGGCAAAGCTTTTCGATAACCTCGCATTGGCAGTACCCGCTCCATGAACTTAAATCCTCATGCACTCTAGGCGTCCATGTTTCTAGCAGTGAGAGGAGTTCTGGCGCTCCCGGGAAAGAGAAGTCTCACACGCATATTAAATTATGGTTCAAGTTAAGTTCTCTCTCTCACACACTCATGGCAGTCCTACCAATGGCGAAACCGATGTAGGGCACGCCTCTCGGCCCTACCTCAACGGCTGTCCCATTGTAGCGCACCTGCCTCACTCAGGGGTGAACCATCTATGCAGGGATACTGCCTCCGCTCGGCTATCTAATCCGCTAGGTCTATACCCATTCGAGAAGTACGGTTGTACGGGGGTCGTTTCATGCTTAACTTCATGGCTCGGTCCTTAATTGACCGGGGACGGTACTAGCCTTTTCCAGATACCACCCAAATCCTCCGTCCGCCCCAGTCGAAAACAGTTGTTTAATTTTATTTCTCCTTTCACAAATCATGTCATCAACATCATGGCAATGTGGCGCTCATGTCTCCACATGCCGCATCTCAATTACCTTCCCAAAGGTAATTGCCCAAGCATATAGCATTTGATAAATATGAGTATGCATGATTCTAGAATAGCATTTCTAAGCAATTGTCATAATTGACTAGGGACTCATACGTAATCATGGGTACAAGGACTTTAAGGGTAAACAATAATCAAGGCATGGCATAATCACAAGTAGGATGTTCATCATTGCATGCAATTTTATTTGTAAACAAAACAATTTCGCAATTAGGATCAACATGTTCAAGGAATAGTGATGACTTGCCTTGCTCGAGGTCTTGCGGGTCTTGGCCTTCACCTGGATCCGCGGCTCCCTCGGTCTCTATAGTTACGTGCGAAAATTGATTTGAATTCGGTTAGAATTCAAATAAAAATCCAAGTAAATCCAAATGGAAGTCGAACGCGAAAGTCAATTCCTTTTTATTAATTTTACTATCCGCGAACTATGGCAAACCCCAAATTTTGGTTTAAATTATTTTGCGGTTACAATATTTTGTTGTCGTATGTTTTTAATTTAATCTACCCTAGCATTATATCCATATATTAGGTTAGAAATTTCTTATCGCGAGCCAAATGTCGGACGGAATCCTAAAATTATCTTATAATATTATACGACTTAATTTAGTCTATGATTAAATATAATACACGGCTAACACCCTAGTAATTAAATCCGAATCGTTACCGTTGATCGATTATTTATAGAGATTTCCCAGAAATAATCCACAATAATTTACGAGAATTCATACATTTGTTTAATTATTAATTACATCTAAATTAATACCGCGAATTGATTTCTTATGGAGAGTACTAAAAGTTATCTATAATCTATAGGAATTTATCCAATTATATTTTCATTAATCCTATATTTAAATGCTAGTATTTTAGGTATTTAATTAGTAAGAGTTTATCTAACTATATTTTCATTAATCCTACAATTAAATTCTAATATTTGTAAATATTGTAAATTTCCCCCTAAATTTTTTCCTTTTCTTTTCCCTCTCTCTCTCTTTTCTTTTCTTTCTTTTCTTTTCTTTTCTTTTCTTTCTTTTCTTTTCCTTTCTTTCTCTTCTTTTCTTTTCTTTCTCTTCTCCCTCCCGGCTTCTCTCTTTCTCTCCCGGCTTCTCTCTTTCTCTCTCGGCTCTCCCTCCTACCCGAGCGGCGCGGCGACAAAAGAAAGAGGGGGAAAACAGCGGCTTACCGACGGCGGCGGCGGCGACGACGGCGGCGGCGACGACGGCGCGCGGGGGCACGGGTACTGTTGAGCATCTGATGATGCAAAATTGCTGCCAAACAATTGAGTAGTTTCTTATTGTACTTGAATTACATGTACCCCAGTGGCATAATATATCCATGAATCTTATAATACATGAGTAAGCAAAATTTAGTAGACTCAAGTAAACCCCCGTAGGGCACTGCATTTACGTTAGAAAACATTGGCAGCAGTTTCAGAGATAGAATCAGACAGAGTTGTCCGAAGTCCAGTGCAACAAAAAAAAAACAAGTACCTTATGGCATCTGACTTGAATCCCATCAGGTTTTATAGTGCTAAACTGATCCTCAAATTGTGTCATTGTGCATTTAATGGTAGAATCCTCACCTGTATTGTATGCGCAGCAACTATAAAATAAAGAATAAATTTCAGGACAACAACAAAATTATCATGTCTGGACTAAAGCCTACGATTATAGCAAATACCTTATGTTCATACGTATAGTACCAAAGATTGATTAATGTTCACATATGTAGAACTTGTTGATGGAGTGATGGATGCTTGGCTTGTTGGCTTGCCGCTTGCTTGCTGTCGCCGCTTGGTGCTGCACGCCTGCACTGCTGTTGTGCCATTCATCCCACCCTGCCTCTGCCTCTGCCTCTGCTCTTCCTGCGCTGCGCGCCTGCCCCTTTGGGCCATGGCGGCTGGTCGCGCCGCCGCCTTGCCGGAGCGGATGCCACAGCCGCAGCTCTGGAAGCCTGGTGGCCGCGCCATCCTCACCTCACCCTGCCCTCCCGCACGCGGCACGCACCACAGCAGCCGCCGTCTGCCGATGGGGATTGGCGGAGGTTGGAGGAGATGGTCAGATGACTCAGATGGGGAAAGTTGGGTCACATTTACACTAAACAAGCCTAATGGGCCTACTAGCTATCAGCGTGAGGACCAGCACTGGCATTTGCAGAAGCGTCCACGCCGCGTCTCAGCCGTCGCCCGTCTTCTCACGATGCAGCGTCGGCACTCTGTCTGACCCGGCTGCTTCTATGCGCGGAGGAGCACGAGGAAGAGGGGGGGGGGGGGGTTGGTCAGCGGGCGGCGCGAGGTATGGCGAGCGCCACACCTCGCCCTACCGAGCCCTCCGCCCCTGGCCACACCCACCCACCCCCCATCCTCCCAGTCCCAGATCCGGCGTGGCAGCGAGCTTCGGCGAGCTTCTGCGTGCTGGTGGTGGTGGTAGCCTTGGGAATGGCTGCCTAGGAGAAGGTGGAGCTGCAGAGAAAGAGAGAGAGAGAGAGTTGAGCTGGGCTAGAGAGAGAAGGTGGAGCTGCAGAGAGAGGGATAGAGAGAGAGTTGAGCAATGGTGCGGGAAGAGGATGAGGACAGGCGCTGGTCGGGCCCGGCGCCGCCGTCGCCGCCACCGAGGATGCCGAGGCCGACGCGGTTTGGAATCGGCTAGCGGTTGGGCCCGTCGATGCAGCCGCATGCCGTCCTCGAGCTGCCCGGGGACTGCCGCCGCGCGATCTAGCCGCCCTAGGCCCGGGAGCGCTGTCGGCGGCAGATCCACTGCTCCCGAGCCTGGCGGAGACGGAGGCGGCGCGGTAAGCGGTGAGGGGGGAGTAAGCTGGCACCGCGAGCGGCGATGGAGGAGGAAGACGCCGCCGCATGCTGTCATCGCCGATACCCACCGCCGGAGAGGAGAGGAGAATTGATGGGAGTGCGGCGGCTGAGGGTGGAGAGAGAGGAAGAGAGAGAGAGGAGGGGTGGAGATGAGGGTTTTATTGTAGGATCGAATGAAAGAACTAAGCTAACCAGAGAGGGGGTGAATGGTTGACATACTCAAAAACCGAAAAATTTTAGCGGAAATAAAAGTTACCCTCGAAATTGATGGATCAATCTAACCGGAGTAATCCTGTCGGTCTGACCGAGCTTGTGTCGCCGGTCTGACCGATGAAGGTTGCCCGGTCCGACCGCTCCGAGATCGCCTCTGCTCCCTGATGCCGCCGCCGGTATGACCGCCAACTGCCTGCCGGTCTGACCGCCGCCTTCTGCCGGTCTGACCGCCGATATGTCGCCGGTTAGACCGCCGAAACCCGGTGAAACACAAATCGAAGAACTCTCAAAGTAGATGACAACTTTATTGCTTCTCTCTGTGTTTACAAAGTGCACCAACAGCACTCCTTACAAAAATCTCGACTAAACTCGAAACCCTAACTAAACTAGCAACAAAATTGCTCTCAAAAGCGATACCGGGAAGCCTCACGCTCCCCCTCTATTTATACATGAGGTAGGCAGCCTAAAGCCACGAACCATACTCATACTAAGAGTCCTAAACACCTTAGGAAACCCTCTAGTACAAGAAAGAAATTTTACATAACCAATCGTACCAAATTTGGACTCCTTCCAAATTCGACTCCGCATCCCATACGCACACAATACCTTCATCGTATGCCATATGGAATCTCCATCAACCACGTGCATCAACTCTAGCCTTAGTATCCCGCATGATATCTGACCACCGCGGACATTGTCTTACCACCAAGCCGACTCCCGGTCCATCACCACAAATACTCTCCCGAGGCATCGAGTCACCTACACATGAAACAAACAAAGAAACCATATTCCGAGACCAAGCTATCACCAACTTGACTCATTGTTAGCAAACAACAGTATTACATACGTATAGTATCCATCTAGAAGCCATAACCATGAAACAATCATGGATATCCAAACAAACAACCCGAAACCGAAACCGATACAGTATCGGCTGGTCAGACCGCGGGCTGGCCAGTCTGACCGCTCAACACAAGCCGTTCTGACCGGCAACCACCGCCCGGTCGGACCGGACCACATAAAATAACACCACCTGTGAATCCAATCATCCAAAACCACTTCGACAATAATCTCCAAATGACAAAACCAATAATCACAGATGCCAATTGTTCAACACAGAATAAGAATCAAAACACACGTTGATCTTACAATCTCCCCCTTGATGAACACATTGGCAAACCCATTAAAAATGTTTTGGAGTTTGGAAAAATAAAAACAAAAGCGATAAAAAGCACACTTCATACAAAAGTACACATCGTGCTCAAAAATCCAAAAGAAAACTTCTCCCCCTTTTTAAAAGAAAGAAATTCCCAATTAAACCAAAAACATGTTCTTCTCAAAAACTCTTCTCTTCTCCCAAAACACAACTCTTCTCTCCAAAACTTATCTCTTCTCCCCCTTTTGACAATGATTTAATCAAGCATAAGAATTATGTTTATTAATGTATAAGAGCTTAACATACATATAGCATATCATGTCATGTGTTGCAATAAAAAGAAGATGAACCCATCTATAACATAACAAGCATGCACTAAAGTATAACCATGAACCAAAGATTTTACAATTAAGCTTGAATCAAGAATCAAAATGTAACGGACTCAAAATTTCAGGGAAAAATTTTTGCGAATTATTTTTAAGTCATGCTCTTTTCGATTCTTGCATTGGAGTGATATTGCTTTTAATCTTTTCTTTTATTTTGGACTTAAACTTTAATTGCAAAGTTAATCGCTCTTTTAAATTTTATAAAACCTTTCCATTTATTTTATGTAATCTCTAACTTTGGCTCTAAATTATATTTCCTTTGAATCCATTCCCGAACACCTCCAACTAATACCCTTTCAATTCCCGTTCAACCATCTCTAGAGCACATGAAATATCAATCTCTCTAGAGTTAATACCTTTTTATTTAGAATTTACTACACTACCACCAAATCTAGTTTTATCTTCCACAAATATTTCCCCTTTGAAATATCGTTTATCTAAATTATCCATTCAAGATTTCAAAGTCTATTATTGAGCTTGGGCCAATATTTCCCCAATTGACCCGATTCTCTGTTATATCCCATTAACCATTTTTATCTTTGGGACTAAGCCAGTATAACTCCCTTTTTGTTGGAATTTATTTTGGATCACACCTTTATCTAAACCTATCCCCAAGAACCTTTATTTCCTCTACATCGATCCAAAATATTCTAGGGTCAAGTTCCTATTTTGATCGAGCCGCCTGTTTGATTCCTATGGCTTGATTTCCTCCTCGGCACAAGAACTGTACTATCACAAATAATTGAGTGATTGCTCTTGTGCTAAGAAACTTATTTCCAATCCCTTCTATTCAAAGTCCAACTTCCTTTAGCCACAAATATTTCATCAAGAATCCATACCACATATTTTGGAGGCTAAAATCCTAGTTGTTTACCTCCATCTATTTTTGACGTCATCCCAAAATTTATCCAAAGTTAGAAGATCAATTATTTGTGTTCCTTTTCCTCCCATTTGATTATTACAATCTTACATTTTAAATATTAAAGAAAATCTTTTGTGACAATTCTATAAAATTGGAGCATTTTGATCCTTATTGAATTCTTTTAAAATTGGACATCTTTATTTTTATCCTTTTCAAATTTATATCTCTAATTAATTAGGTTACGTTTCTATTTCAAAAACTTTCAAATCCTTTTGGTAATCTAAAAGCTTTATTTTAAATTCAAAAAGTCCTCAAATTTTATCTCCTCTAATTTCATCTCCTTGAATCCTATTTCAAATCTATTTATAAATTGCCAAAGGCTCCTATTTATTTTGGGCCGAAATCCTTTCATTCGGCCCAATCGGCATAAGTCTATTGTGCCTCCCTCCCCTTTACTGTGGGCTCCGCCGCCGCCTTGCCGAAATCGGCGCGCCGCTGCCCAGCCAATCCGCTGCAGCCACCTCACCCAACCAATCCGCCGCCGCCACCTCACCCAACCAATCCGCCGCCGCCACCTCACCGCGCCAATCCGCCGCCGCCACGCGTCGTCGAAAGCCGTCGCCGACCAACTAAACCGCCATCGTCGGCCAATCCGACGAGGCCACCCGGCGCCGCTTCTCTGCATTTAAATCGAAGCACGCCGTGCCGTCACCGGTTTCTCTTCTATCCACCGCCTCTCGCCGCCTATAAAAGGACGACGAGGTTCCCTCTTCCTCCCCACACAAACCGAGCTCCTCAAGCTCTCTCTTTCTCTCTCCATGTCCGGCCATCATTGCCATCGGCCGATCTCCCTCACCGGAGCTTCGCAAGCCAAAACCCTTGCGCCACCAACTCCGCCTCGTCGAGGTGATTCCATTTTTCCTATTTCCCCTCTCCTTTAGCCACTGCCACAAGCACTACCGGCACCACCATAGCCGGCCGGAGCTGAGCTCTTGCTGCCGCCGTTCTGGCCATTCTATTTACTCCCTATGCCTTCCACCGACGTCCCCGGATTTGTAGCTAGCGGGAACACGCTTGTCCGCCGCCGTAGAGGCCGTTCAACCACCGAAGCCCCGGCGCCCTGTCCCTCTTCCTCTCTGTTGTTGCTCGGGAGAAGAAACAGAAGGAAGGAGAGAAGAACGGGAGGAAGAAGAAGAGACATATGAAAGTGGGCCCCGCTGCACAGTAAACTTCCTCTTTTATTTGATTTCAATCTTTAGACAACCATATCTTTCCAACCACAAATTCAATTCCAGTGAAACTTTGATCTAAATTCATCTAATTTCAAACCCTCCCTTTTGATACCAAATTTCCTATTTAAAATTTTGTTTAAATACCCTTTTAATTTAAACCTATTTGGTTTATCTTAAATCCCTTTAAATTGAAATTTCTTGTTTTATTTAAAAAACTTTTTTAAATTAAATTATATTTTAATTTCTTTAAATATCTTTTTTTATTTATTTAATTACCTTTTCTTTATTTCTTTAAAATACCATTTTAAATTTTATTTCTTTCTTTAATCTATTTTTAAAAACTCTATTTGAATTCAAATTTCTTTAAACCATTCTTTTACAATGCTTAGCCACCAAAAAGCCGCCGTGGAAACTTTACACCTTCTATGGAGACGTTCGCGTGGTCTCAAACCTCGACGTCAAACCGGGCATAACCTAATCCCAAGGTCGAAGTGTTGCTCTTCGCACCCCACGTCACGACATGTGCAGTGCTTGAAGCCTCACTACTCTCTCGACCTCCACAACACGCCGCACACTAGTTCTTGAGCTATGTGCGACCCTAGCCGCTCTACTGTCACTCACGACTATAGAGTAACACTGTTCCACTCCACACAAATCTCCTAACTCACTAGCCGTTGTGCTACTTAACTGTAGCATCGACTAGACGAGCTGATATTTAGCCATTATGCTGCCCATCTTTAGCATCGGCTAACCAATCCAAATATCTAGCCGTCGTGCTACTTTACTCTAGCACCGACTACAAAACCAAATCCACCAAATAAACCCCACATATCCAAAGTTATACTTCCTTTGATTTTATTCGATTTCCAACCTTTAGAAACCAAAACCTCTCTTTTGTTTTCCAAACTAAAATTTATTTTGAACCATTTCTTTTTCCTTCGCCCTCCAATTTTATTATTCCTTGGTTTTATCGTTTCTTTGTAGCATTTATCTTATAGGTTTTATTTGCTATCTTTTTCGTATTCGTACGTTAGACTGTACAGTAAGTTTTATCAGCATCTAAGGAACTGTCGTGGACTCAGATGGCTACGCTGAAGCCGCGGGAAATCTCGAGGCGCAAGGAAAGACATAACTAAAATTTTGATCATATAGAAACCTTGATATAATCTTCATATTTAAATTTGATGCATGATATTTGCTCTTTTAACATCTCGTGGGTAGACGTGAAATGCTTTTAAGCATGATTACATGATATTATTGAAAGATACATTTGAGATCATTTTATGTGGTTTATTATTCAAACATCTTTACAAACTTAGGAATCCGGTTAAAATGGGTATTTTTGAATGTTATATATAATGAAGTTTGTTGGTGTGGGGAGTTTGGAAAGTTTTGGGTGGTTTAACCGGATTATAATTACCCCCTTACACCATGGGAAATGACATAGTTGCGTCCATCCACACGACCAAGTAATTGGACTTAGCCTAGTACATTGTCCCACTATATGAAAGACTGTTGGGTGGCTCTATGAGCGGTTGGGGTGAACATGCGTAAGGAGTTAGGGGGCAGTGTTTCACAACAGTGGGATTCATGAAAGTGT